GCACTGCGCCTCGCCCGCCGCCCGCTACGGCCCCGGCCAGACGCCCGCGGCCTTCCTCAGCGCCCTGCTCCCCTCGCAGCCCACGCCGGTGGCCGTCAACGCCCTGGGCCTGCCCAAGGGCGTCACCCCCGTGTGAGTGACAGCCGCCCGCCTAAGGTGGCACTGCAGCCCCCACACACCCCTCCCAAAGTGCGCCCATAGACCTACAATGCGGGGGGAACCACTGCACCATGGTTACATACTTCCCTCCATCTAGCGTTCATATTTTTATCACAGCAACTTTACCAAGCTATTCTTGCATAGCTACCTTCCCATGACTAAGATCAGCACTTCTGCATTAAGCAATAGAAGATTCTCGTCAGGAACTACCCAGTGCTCTTCCTAATCATGATGATAGTGGTGTTAGCTACCATTGGCCGAGCACTGTGCTAAGCAATTCACCTATGTTATCTGAGTTGATACATTCCCAAGAGGTATCGTTGCTCCACTTATAAATGAGGATTCCAGGAAATAATTTGCCCAGAGTCACATAGCCACCAAACTGAGATCTGAATCCATGTCTGTCTGACTCCACATCCATGCTCTTATCACCAAACTCGGCACCTTACGATTTCAGATCACTGCTACCATAGCCGTGGAGGGGCTCGGTTATTAGGTATACACGTATGTTTTGACATATCAGAATTAACAGAATTAAGAAGTAAGCCTTTACCTGTATGTGGTAACTGATTGGAAGGGGGAAAACATGTAAATGTCTTTGTTCTTGCAAATAAGTGAGGGCATGTGCAATCTAGTGAAGAAATGGTGGTGTCCCTGGCCAGCAGTGGTCTCTGGGTGGAGTATGTGGCTCCTCTGTCTCAGGTTTTCTATTTGCAGATTATCTACTACCCATCTATCCTTATGTCACAGTGATGATGTGGCAGCCCTCTGAAATCTTTAAATAGAAAATGTATGAAGGTAAAGACGACGACATCTACAAAAGTATAGTAAAGCTTTCAAAAGAAACATTTCATACAGGTGTTTGGCACGTTTTGTGGAGGAGTAAAAGCTAGCACATACACACTTTACTGAAGAGTTCCAAAATGAGTACGCGCTAGCAAAGGTCAGGCCAGTTCCGGTATCTCAACTCTTCCTGTTGAAATCCTACTTCAGAGTTTGCCAGAATCCCAATATTGTTCAGAGAGAAAAGGAAACTCTACTGAAGAATAAAAAGAGAAGACCTTAGAAGTCAGGTTATTTTCATTTGTATGAAAGTTGTCCATTCTGGGATGTCCTAATGCCGCCTTAAAGATGTTCGGCTTTGACAAGGTGTATCAAGGAGCTTCAGTTAGCAACCTCTTGTTTTTTAGGCAGTTTCTGAATGTTGATTACATGATGTAATCTGGCTTCTTCTCAAATCCTTTTTGGAAACAGCTCAGTCAAATGAATACGTAAATAAATAAGTCTAATCAAGGAGAGGAACCTATAGTAATGATGTGATACCCGGCTTCTATTGCAAGTTGAGTCAGGCAACTGGCCCGAGAAAAACCATTGTCTTTCTTCACTTTTCTGTTTGAGCTTTTATTTGGCTGCTTGGAAATGAAGTATTATCTTGCTACAAAGAAGCTGTTAGATTTAAAAAGCATGGTTTGTTGCATGACACTTTTAGTCTTCTCTCACTATAAAATGGTACTGATTCTTGCTCTCCAGGAAGATAAGGACTGTATGAATAATCTAATATTTCTTATATAGAATTTGATCAAAGGTTAGTCTATCAGAGGCATTAGTGGTCACGTCTTTTATCATCTTAAGTAGAAACACAGTGGTTTATTCTGATCTTCGACTTTAAAATTCTTTTCAGAAGAAAAGCAGTTTGAAGGGCTTACCTCAAGTAACAGGAGCACCTGCTTCATATCAGCATCATTTTATGGAGTCAAAATACTTTATAACTGTGACCACAAGAGTCCAGTAGCTCCTGCCATTTCTTAAAATTAAAATTTAATGGAGAAGTTAAGCTGATGTTGTGGCTATGGAAAACTATACTCAAAGATAGTTGGGCGCTGTGACACCAAAGATAAGTGGCAATACCAGGCCGCAGATTAACTCTGTGCCAGCCTAATAAGCCATTATAATATGGTTACCCTTTTGTCTTTAAGGAATTTTCCTCTTGCTAAAGCACACACACTTGAAGAATTCATTCTTTTGATTTGATACATGTGACTTTTGAAACATTTTTTCCTCTGTATGTTGTGGGAATCCCTCGTTTTTGCATTCTGAATTAAAATGAAAAGGTAGCTATTCATCATAATAATCCAAATAATTTGGCAAAGACTGACTGTCCCTTTTTCGGGGCTGCCATGACTAGCTGGCATTCTTGAACTGGTAGGTACTGCCCAACTATTGTCAAATAAATCTTTTAAATTACTTTCATGTATATTTCATTGGGAACTTGTGGCGCTTATGACAGCAAATTCGGTTTCACTGACGTGTTATTTCTCTGGTGGATGGTTTTGCCATATATGTCAAGTGCCAGTAAATAGATGGATTGTACATGACTCAGTGAAGTAGAAATACATTTTTTTTTGCCTGCCTTGTTTTACCAAAATTTTAAATATAAATTTCACATATTTCAGTTTTCTTAATCATCAGTTGCATACTAGCTATTTCATTCTGTTTGTATGTTTAGCATTGTCCTTGTTTTAATCTGGAGAAGAATAGGCTGGTTAAGTACTAAGTTTCTAAATAGTCTGGAGATAAGGTTCTGTTTCTCATGTGTCTGGGTAGCAGAGGTCAAGGCAGGGAACAAAGGCCATCGATGCCAGTGATAAACCACAGTCAAGAAGGCAAATGACAATGGGCCTCTCTCAGACTCGCAGCAACAGTATTCGGTTGTTGGTTGATTGTGGTTTGGGGAACTTCTGCACATCCAGTTCCTCTAGTGCCTTTCTTTCCTCAGATGGCTACACTCTTCCCTGAGGTTACTGGGGTCACTAGCAGAGAAAATATCGCCTTTCTCAAAGCTGCTGACAGACACAAATTTTAAGTTGAATAAATCTTTCAGATGGAGGCAGTGAAGAGAATATGCGTTAGAAAGAAACCTGTTTGCACTTCTATAGAATCAATGTATTCCACTTCCCTCACAATTGCTGATAGTTATACAGCTTCCACTGCCATAACCCTGTTCCTCTACACAGTAGATCAGCCCTAAGAGATGATGGGAATCCAGAGGAGTTGGGAATGCCACCTGGGGATAGTGCAGTATTTCTGTCTCTGTTGGTGTCTGAGTGGTTGTAGCAGGTCTGGGGGTGAATCAGATCAGATGCATCCCCGAGAACCAGATTGGCACTGTATCTTTTGCCCACCCTCACATTCCTGGAATCTGTTCTCATAAGGGAGTGCCACATAGCCACAGTGCTACAGTGTTTTACACTCTTAATTGCCTCTTTTATATAAGTAGAGCTTTGGTTTGAAATGTTACTCTGTGTTTGTCAAAAGTAAGAGTGTGTGTCAATAAGAGCTTTTATACAGATGTCTTAATGAGAGCTTTTGTTCTATAGCACTCAGCTCTTTATAGACGTTATGTCATTGTCCCTCTCTTTCTCCCTGATTTATAAGAAACAGGTAAGTGGGGAAACTGCCATCATTCTACACTCAAGGTGAGAGGCACCACGGGGTAAAGGGGTTTCCAGGGTTCTGGAATAAGTCTAAACAAGCAGGGCATAGTATGACTTAGCCTTAGGTGTGTATTGCCCAGGTGATCTCTAATAAATCTGATGTCTAATATGTCTTAGTTAAAGAAAACTGCTGCAGACCAGCAAAACAAAATCCCCTGAGTCTTAAGGAGAAGTTTGTAACAGATTTAGTTGTACTTTTAGACAGTGTTCAAGTCAGTACCGTGGTGAGATAATAGAATAGACTAATAGAAAAGACAAAAGCTGCATTGGACTTTTGCAGACATTATCTCATTGTTCCCACCTTTCTCCTGTCTTACAGGAAACAGGTAGGTGGGGGCCTTGTCATTGTCCCTTTAGAGGCAGAGGCCTGAAAGTGTTGGGGGCTTTCCCAGGGTCTTGTTACTGGGCTCATTAGGGTCCAGTATCTTAGAGGATTCCACACAAAGTTACATCCAGTCCTGGGCAAGTACTTCCCAGCAAATTGGTAGGAGAGGTGTCTGGGGTCTGCTGTGACTGGTGATGATTCTGTAGAAATGTCTCCGCCCCATGAGCAGCTCAGAATCAGACCTGCTCGGTCCTGGATGGCTCTGTGCCGAGTTGTACAGAGTGAATGAGCAGAGCGAATATAAAGTTATCTATTTTCCTTTAAATATGAACTTCAGGTACCTACTTGTACTTTAACAGCTTTGGCTTCATAATAAAATTAAGTTAAAAAAAAAGAATTGGTATTCAAAAACTCAGTCTGTGTATCTTGGGCTCTTTTATGTATTAATTCGTATATTACATTCTTGACTGTGAGGGATACCTAAATGCTGACACATTAATGACTTTTTGCTTACTCTGGAATTTTGTGGAATTTAGTTACCATTAGATTTCATTGAATATGAGAAAAGGAGAATAAGAGGACTTTTAGTAGTTAAAAAAAATTCTCTGGTAGCTAGATAGGCACGTGACCTCTTAAATCAATGTGGTACTCTGGAGAGTTGAGTTTCTGAAATATCCTGACAGAATTGACCTGGAAAAGTATATCAAGGGAAGGAGGCTTTCAAGATTATTCAGTAGCCAAGGGCGTGGTGGGGGAAGTCCTGGGATTTGGTGGTGGTGGAATCTGGAAGATTTTACCTTCCAGATGCTTGTGTGTATGTTTGAGATATTTTTACCCCCAACTACATGAATGTTATTTTAAAATGGTGAGTGACTTACTGTTGAAGCTAGAGTAAACAGATCAGTAATGTTTTTTGCACAGTTGGGCTGAGTGTATACACTGAAGTATTTAGTGTGGGAGGCTTGTGTGAATTGTTTACTGATTAAGGTTTGCCTCTGAGTATGAGTTTTTGTGAAGAGTTCTGGTTTGGTAACAGTTTACTTTGAATAAGCATTTTATTTTTTAATTGTACAAACCATCACGAAGGGAGATTCTGTCTGTCACCAGATACTCTTTTTATTTCCTAGCGAGTTGTTGCTCTTCATTTATTAACA